TCCAGCCTATCCAGGTCTTCCTGCAGGGTGGCTCTCCCTTCCGAAGTGTCCACTTCACCATTCAGCTTGGTATCATTAGCAAACGTCATCAGGGCACACTTGATCCCATCATCCAGATCACTTATGAAGACACTAAACAGCGTTGGGCCCAATATCAGTCCCTGGGGACAGTATATACTGAGGGAACTGACCGATGCCTGGCTGTGGTGATGGAATAAAATGTCATTGTATTTAATGATTGTGTTGCAAAGGGCATACTTCATGGTGCCACATTCATAGTTTTAGGGGCTACTTCTGTCATTCTCACAATCTGGAACTAGACTTTTCAACTATTTTTAATGGTAATAATTGTTTCGTAAGTAATATATAAACTAAGGTCACAAGACAATGGAAATGGTGTAAAAAATACTAATTTAAATCTCAAAATGTAATCATTCATTGCATTTTTTTTGCAATGGCTGACAAATAAATGTGTAGAAACTCAATATAAGGAGAAAAATGGTTAACCCTTTTGCGCATTCAGTTTCTGAATTTATAAGGAATTCAGACACAGCTAGAATGAATACTGCCAGGATACAATAAGGGAGTGATCTAAGCTCCAGCTTAGATTTAGTGCCTGGTGACACTTTGCTATGGGAGGACTGAGAAACGTCGTTGAGAGAACTTCTGTTTGTAAAAGTTTATTCTGTAAATAAACTGCTAAATGTTACATTTAATTGAAATTATGGGCAAGAAGAAGCAATTCTGATTGAAAAGAATAAAAATTACAAAATGCCTGTTTAATAGCTTATTTAAAACCTGCTCTATAAATTTATTATTTTTGTTTTGACTTATTTCAGTGATGTATGTATTGTTGTGGTAATATGGATGTGTATTCTATGACTTGTGGCTGTAATTATTCACAGTGAATTAATTTATGCCATTAATATCTCATTCAGTAACAAGTGCATGGTAAAACCTCAAGAGTTTTGATTTGGATAAATATCTAGTTTCATTTTTAAGTCATGGAGAAAAGTTAATACCTTCCAGTCTAAAGGCAATGTGACAGCTGAATATGAATATAAATATCTGTAAACGAAAGTTAAGGATGTAAAAAATGTCAAATGATTTCTTATTAAATTCCATAAACATTTTTGCTCTCAAGAATAATTAATGATACCTTCTTTAACCAGTTTGCAAACAGTTACTGCTTGCTTTTATGCTAGAAGAACTTAAACTGGTTCAGGAAAACAACAGCTGATGGTAGTATCCATATCTCCTAAAGGTCAAAATTAAAGCTTTGAAGGGTTTTCGTGTTCCTTTTTGTGTAAAATATAGTATACACAATACTTTTGTGTAACATATGCGTGTATGTATAAAGCCATAAATTATTTATTTAATTTACTAAGTAGAATAAAAGAGTGACAGCTTCATTTATGACAGAT